AATAAAATAGACTACAAGAAGATAAGTCATTTTAAATGTCTCATATTGCTTTCGATATATTATTTCTACAACTTACTCTTCTCCTTTTGTCAAGCCTCAGTAATTTTTTCTTCCCCTTTTCTTATGATCGAGGGCTGGCCAGTTCCCTTCTGGGTTCAGAATGATCTTGCGCCACATACACCATATTTAACTTTCACATGCTAGCTTCTCCCTAAAACCATTTTTTTTTCTTTCCAGCTTTCTAACAATTGCAGGTTTCATATTAAAAGAATCTAAGTCTGTCCTTTACAGCCACGATTATCTTTTTAAAAAAATCGCTTCTTGGCCGAGCAGCTGCTTATGTGCTCTCTCAACAGTTCCTTGCTTAGGACTCTGAGAAGTGGCTTGCTTACCTACCACCTGTCAAAATTAAATCCTCGGAGAACAAGCTGGCTGAGGTGCACGGGGTTCTCTCATACTTCTGCTGGTTCACAAGCATCAGTATCTATGCCTGCAGATCATCTTTCCTGGACACCCCGTCTTTCCCACCCTCTCGCAGTCCTCTGCTCTTCTCATTTAGGTTCTTGGGCCTTTCTTCTCTAGATCTCCTTTCCCCTGGCCATCTGATGGATTCAACTGTCAACTCTGTCTTTTATTCTGTTAATTCATCTAAAATCTTTGCCTCAGGGTCTTGTCTTGCTCTAAAATTATTACAATCTTTCTCATTTTGGTACCTCTAAATATGTTACTGGTCATTCAGTAATTCACAAGTAGAGTTCACCCTCATCTTCCTTCTCAGTTCCCATTCTGATCCTGGCCGTCCTATGTGCAGAGACAGAGCCATCCCTCCCATTACTCATGCTTTGGTTCATTTTCCTCCATTACTTCCCCATCACATCAAATACCCAGTCCCGTTCATCCAGCTTCTACATCAGCTGTCTTATCTGGTTCCATGAAACCATGCCTACTCTCACTGGCTAGCTCCTGCTCCCTCGATACATCCTCTGAGCCAACACAATGGCCTACTATGCGTCCCCAACCCTCTGCTCTCTATTCTTTTGCCAAACCACAGCAACACATATGCCAGACTCGTTCTTCTGGAAGACGCATATTAAAATTTCTGTGTTCAAATTCATTCCAAAGCCCAAAATCCTTATACAATCAGGACCTTCCATGAAGTGGCTCCAATTTATTTTCCTGTACTCTCTCAGATACAAAACAGTTCCTATTTGACAATGTCTTTTGCTTTCAATTTCATTGCCTGTGCTCCTTATGTTCTGTTGTTTTTGAAAGTCACTTTTTCACCCCTGTTCTTCCGTTTACCACGTATCTTCCAAGGCCTAGTTGAGGTGTTATTTCCACAAGTAAGGTGGCAGGATTTAGATATCATTTATGAAAAATTACTATATGTTAAGCACATACAAATCTTCGTGTGGTACCTATTTTATTTCAAATTGACCAAAATCCGTTAAGTTTCCACTGCAGAGACAGACTCATCGATGATACGTAACTTGTCTACAGTCTGAGAGCTAGTAAGTGGCAAGTACATATGCAGCTTCAACTAACACGTCATTTTTCTAGTTAACCATGTATCCTGGACTCTGATTTACACTCTGTAAGAGCATGAACTTTTTGTGTTCATCTCTTGTAGTATTTTTAGTTGGATCTTACTTCATAGCCATTAACTGCAATGCCAAATTTGCTAGCCTCGTGGTGGTAGATATCATGAGAATTCTCATGTACAAGCATTTATTATTATTATTATTAATGAATTTTCCCAGTTCTGAAATAACTGTGTTCTGCAAGTGTTACTAAATGCTATGCCTGGATATATGGATATAGTATGTCTTTATTCAAAAATTTATGTTGTCAGGGAGACAGTGCTATGGTATAGCAGGTTAACCTGCTGTCTGCAGTGGGCCAGTATCTAATATGGGTGTAGGTTCAAGATCCAGTTGCTCCACTTCTGATCTAGCTCCCTGCTAATACACCTGGAAAAGCAACAGATGATGGCCCAACTCCCTGGGCCTCTGCTCCCTGGTTGTTGTGACCATCTGGGGAGTGAACCAGTGAATGGAAGATCTCTCTCTCTCTCTCTCTCTCTCTCTCTCTGTCTCTCCTACTCTCTCTGTATCTCTTCCAAGTAACAAATAAATAAATAAATAAATAAATCCAAAAAAGAGAGAGCATGAGCGAGTACTCTGGACTTTCTTTAGAAAAATTTATGGTGTCTTTCTACAATCTATTCATCATATCATCACATCTAATATATTCTGAATGAGTGTAAAAGGACTTCAGTAATCTTCGGTCTAAAAAGCAGATGGAAATGTATTTTTTTAGGTATTATTTTGACAATGTCTCAACATGAACCTATTAGTTTAATCAAGTTCAGCAATACAATCTCTCAAACAGAATGATGTCACCCCTGTCCTTTGATCACCTACTTCTCAAACTATACTTTAGTCTTCTTTCAAGATTCAGCTAAAAAATATTTAGTCTTCCACATATAGTGTTCCCTTATTTAAAATTTTGCTGAGAATTATATTGGTATGTGCCTACATTATTCAGTGTTTTGTGGCAAATATCCATAGATTCTAGGTTCCCTGCAGAAGAGCACATCTTTTATCCCAAAGTTCTAAGCATACTGTTTAGCATATATTCACAACTTTAAAATGATGGTGCGGGTAGGGGAGGAGGGTTATCAGGAGAACAAAGTTGAATCTCATCTAAAGTAACTGGAACAGTTAATTGGTTAGTCACCAAACAAACTGGTAAAATATTAACGGTTTTTGAGAGTAAGTTTTTTGGCTTACTATGAAGGCCCATCACAAGAAGTTGTTCCTATCTTATGATATGATTGCTCTTTCTAGCTCTTGTTTGTACTCCTGTGGAACTGAATATTGTGGTTACTGGTGAATTAAGCCTGTAATTATTGAATGGATTGAAACTACGTCTTTGTAAAAAGCAAACAAAAAAAATGGAAGGAAGAGGGGGGTTGAGGCAGAGAGGAGGGGAGTGAGGGAAATATGGTTATCTTCTTAGAACTCTACCTATGAAACACATGGAATATGTTCTCTTTATATTCATAAACATTTTAAAAACTTAAAAAAAATATTGGCTGTTGTCCCAAGTTTATTTCAAACAGGACAGCAAAGCAGATACCTGCACCACCATGTTCATAGCAGTACTATGCACAATAGCCAAAATCTGAAATCAATTAAGCTGTCCATCATCAGATGACTGGGTAAAGAAAATGTGGTATATATACAAAATGGAATATTATTGATCTATAAAAAAGAAAGAAATCTACCATTTGCAGCAAAATGCATGCAACCAGAGGACATAATGTTGAATGAAATAAGGTGGACTTGGAAAGACAAATACTGCATATTCTCCCTTATATGTGGGAGCTGAAATTTAAAAAACAAACAAAAAAAAGTCTCTGTGTATCAGTATTTCTGTAAATATAGTTTTGTAAAACTTTGTTTTATACCTTTGTCAAACCAATAACTAAGAATGCTATACTACTATAGTTTTAATGATCTGTGATTACTTTACAATTTACTGTATATGGGTAAAATTGTCAGTTTTCCATTCAAATGTTGTTTATAGCTGATGTCTATATTCCCATTAAATTAGGGTCTTTTGCATCTTTCTTGTTAAACTTATTATTTGGTGAAGTGTTAAGCCTTTCCACTGTAATGTCAATTTAAAATATGATGTTTCAAAATCTAAAAAAAAGAGAAAGGGAGAGGGATAGAGAAGTGGGGAAGGGAGGGAGCAGGGGAATAGCATGATGTTCCTAGAACTGCATCTACAAATCACACTGAATCTCTTAACATAGCTGATTAAAATTAAAACAAGGCTGGCCCGCATGGGAGACCAGGAGGAAGCACCTGGCTCCTGGCTCCGGATCGGGGCAGTTCCCCAGCTGCAGTGTGCCGGCCGTACAGCCATTTGGGGGAGTGAACCAACGGAAAAAGGAAGACCTTTCTCTCTGTCTCTCTCTCACTGTCTAACTCTGCCTGTCAAAAAAAAAAAAAAAAAATTAAAAAGCAGTTGGTCCTACAGCATTATTTCAACCAAAAACATTCCAATTATTTAGGTATAATTTAGAATGGATCTCTGAAGCAATGACACAATGAGTTGGGTGGTCGACAGGTGCTATCTTAATTAACCAATGTAGAGTTTCCCTGCTTATTTCCCAGTGTGGGACAAGCACTCCGCTGCACGTCTGATGTGACCTTGTTTTATCCACATGAATTACACTGAGCAAGTACATGGAAATGCATTTCACAATGACATATAAAATATGTATGCAACAACTTGTCATGAAGATTAAGCCTTCGGTGGGGGTAATCAAATGCTTCAAAATTTAAGAATCTTTATCATTTTTATCAATTTATCAAATGCTTCAAAATTTAAGAATCTTTATCGTTTTTATCAATTTATCAATTGATATAAATTAATATCATTCTTAATTTATCATTAATTTATTATTTTATAATTAATTTATTAATAGCATTATTAATTTATCATTAAACACTTATTGTTTACACAAACTGTCAACCAAACATACAGTAAAACAGCATTTGAAGACACACGCTCTTGTGAAGGCAGGACAGCCTCTCCTTCTCCTGTTCTGCGGCGAATTTTCTCTACCCGTATCCCTCTCTGTGCTTCCATTGCCCCAAGCTTGATACAGACCCGAGCAGATCTACACTCACAAAATGTCAGGCAATATATGAGTGCTCTCATTTTTCCTAAACAGTCTAATAACACTTCCCAAGGGATGAAAAAGAAGTACTATAGGTCATTTTATCCACGCCAAAAAAAAAAAAAAATCCTAGCCACTTCAACATGATACTTAATCAAAGAGAGTCAGGATCAATACACTCCTCACTGGAACATCTGCCTAAGGTAATTGGTCAGAAGTGCAACTGATAAACCCAGGATCTCTTAAAAGCATTGCTTAGTGTGCTGTGCAGTAAAGGGATAAGAAGGAATTCCAGGGCACCTACATTTCTGTGATGGTCTCCGGCAGGTTTGTGGGGATCTCAGTGAGTCCTTTCCCACGACAGTCTACAATATTGTTGCTACAGGTGCAGGCAGTAGGGCAGTGTAAAACACTACAAGAAGGAGCCATGAATGACTGGTGGCCTAAAAGAGACATAAAACACAAATGATATTTTTCCTTCTGAGCTTCATAATTGCAAAACATGCAGACTAAGTTCCAACAACTAAGCATGTAACAGAAATACAAATCTCTAGCTAGCTGATCATAACCTGGTCCTACATGTTACTATACATGGATTGATACTTTCATGTACATATTCAGAGAAAGCAAATGAGATTTTAACATCTGGCCAGAAAAGCAGTAATTTGTAAGTCCAACAAAAACTTTTGAAGAAGGTTTAATTCATATTCAAAATCAGAATTCTACTCTAAAGCTGAAAAAGTGGCAGTTTCAAACTAACCTATATTTATTTCTAATACACTTAAATAAGGGATGGTCACTGTCAAGTTTATGTAGCTTAGTTTACTTTGTCTTAAAAAAAAGAGAAGAAAGGAAAACAGCAAAATCTTCACCTTAACGGACATAACAGTTGCTCCAATTAAGCAGCCATGTGCCAACACAGGTGGGAGAAAATCAGAGAGTGATGTCTGAAGTCAGATAGTTTAAAATTACTGCTTTCTTGAAGTTGTTATAATAATCTCTAGCACCTCATTTTTTCTGGGTTTTATATGAGTTAGAATTTTAGCATTCATAGTTACCTGTGGATATGTGCTTTTACAACTTAGCATTTGGGAAAAAATCATTTTGCAGTGAGATCTATTGTTTTAATGAAGAACGCCAGAGTGTTGGTGGGCTACACCAGTGGGCATCTAAGAATGCACGGGATCTGGAGCAGGCCAGACGCCTGCAGGGAAGGGCCCTGGTGACAGTGATGTGCAAGCAAGGGGCTGCCGCTAGCTGCAAACCCCGGCTCCCACAAGTTTTCAAACTTTACACAAATATTCTCAGTCTAAGAAAGAAATGCACACTTGCCTTCTTCCTCATCTAGAAAACAGGAAGGAAAAGGTAAAGAGAGAAAAAAGAAGTTAGTAGTGAATTGTTAGTCATTTCATTCTTTAAATTTTTAAAAAGCAATCAGACATATTTAGAAAATTCAATGACATTATAAAAGAATTTTGTTTAGGTTATAAAAAGTGCAGAAAATATACAAAAAGGATTAAGAGATAAATAAAATAGATTCAAGTGCTAACTACATCTCCCCAGTTCTTCTTTTTAAAATGCCTGTTATCTCCTTATGATGCATTATGATTGTCCCTTGTTATTCATGGGAGATTGGCTAAAAGATTCCCATGGATACCAAAATTCACAGATGCTCAATTACCTTTTATAAATAAAATGATATAGCAGCGGCATATTATTTATGCACATCCTCCTGTACATAGCAAATCATTACTAGATTACTGATGATACCCAATACAATATAAATGCCAGGCCTATAGTTGTTACACTGTATCGTGTAGGGAATGATGGCAAGGGAAAATATGTACATGCTCAGTATAGATGCAGTTTTTTAATACATTTTTGTTCTGTTGCTAGTTTAGCCCTCAGCGGCAGAACCCATGATGAAAACGAGTGTCACTGTATCTAAAAATTATTTTATTGCATTTTGGACAAAAATTCTGAAGTAGAACCAGCCCTGTATCTACAAACTATCTAAAGTACTATGGATATCACACTCTCTGGGTTGATATCCTTATGCTCAAGCATATCAACTTGGACAAGGTTATTCTTTGTTACAGCACTTCAACTTCTAACAGAGATGATATTTTATTTCTTACATAGTTGCTGTAAGAGAAGATAAGGTAAATATATACACAAAGTACCTAGATTGGTAATCAGGCCCAACAAAGCAGCAAATGTTAGCTAACAGTATTTACAGAGCCTGTGTCTTATTTTTATTTTCAGTTCTTTTTGATCAAACTAGTCACTAATTTGTTTTCAAGAACTAAACTATTAGTTTACATGTATATGTGAAAAGTCTTTCATAACCTTGCATTTGTGATTGAAGTACTCTTTGAATTTCAAAGCAGGGATTCAGGATTAGGTAATCATTTAAAAATTGTTAACACAAAAGTATACACATAAATTTGTACAAAAAATGAAAATAATGAGTCACAAGTGTAACCATAATCTCGTCATTTCCTGTATTTTCCCTGCAATGAAAACTGGAAAATATTTCCATTTGGTCAAAGTGCAAGGAATCAGAAGTTGCCAACCACATTCAAATGTCTTGTAACACGTTATTCTTATCACTTGAAAAGAAGCACTCCATAGAGTGGTTAGTGCACAAGTGCACATTAGCGGACACTGAAACTCCTGAAGCAAGCACTCTGCACATTCCACACGTGACAGCACACAGTAACACAACAACGTGATGGTCTTTTGCCCTTACCACTGCAGACAAATTCTCGTTTTTGAACCTCAGCTACGTTATGGCCCCTCAGGTGGGAAGGGCCCATACACTGAGTGTACAAGCCCACGCGAGGTCTTTGGCGAAGCCAGTCGGAAAGCCAGGCCAGGTGGCAGTCACAATACAGGTTGTTCGAATGGAGTCGACTGAAAATGAGAGGAAAGAAGTTGAAAACAAGAAAACAGAGCACAGCTCTTTCCAAGCTAGGAGAATTCACTAATAATAATATATATTTGTTTTTTTTTTTAACATGGAAGTAGATAAAGCTTAGAAAGTTCCAATCTATCTAATTATTTTTCTGAGGATTAAGCTGCTTTACAACTACAGAATCAAGTCTCTCCATTTACTCTAAGTTAAGAAAACACAGAGAAGCTTCAATGGCAACTTGAAATACTTCGAAATACATTCATTCAAAAGGATAAGAGGGAAAAAAATCAGTCCAAGGCATAGTGTTCTGTAGTTTCAGCACAGAAAAGCCAGTGGTATTAGGCTAGAGGGAGCAAAGTCAGAGAGGGGTATCATTCCTGCATGCGTATGTTGTAGCTTCCAGTTTGAAATATCAGTAACACCTACCATTTCTAGTCTTCACAGAACCTACTTGCAAATTTTTTTAGGTCACTTTTCTTTTTTGCTGAGCAAAACAGAATAATAATTTAATGTAAAATACTTTCTTCACATCCCTCTTCTGATTTTCTCCTTTTGTATTTAATCACAGAGAAGGGGATTAGCTGCTGTTGGCACTTGGGGACATATCCTCAAGGACCAAGGGCTGAAATTAAAAGGCATAAATGGTGGGAGTGAAGGAATTAAGTGAGTGCCCTCTCTACTGGCAGGATCCACACCAGATCATGGATTGCATCCAAATGGCAAATAGCTTTTCTCCATTAATAAAATATCAGTCAAATGTATCCACTAAATTAGGTAAATGACTTCAAACTGGCTTTTATGTTTTCTCAAACTACAGAAAAGGACATCCAAAGCTATAAATCAAAGCATCATTCCCAGAATCATCTATGACAAAGTAATGCCATTTTAGTCCTTTTTAGCTGATGTGTTCAATTTTAACCCAATAACAGTAATGGATATTAAAACATAGAACTCAGTCCAGAAAGATAACTGGACTATAAAAATGGAATTTTAAAGTAGCATTCATACTGTAGGATAACAGACCGACCAAAGTGAGGGACTTTGAAGTTGCATGACTGCTTCACATTTTCCCTTGAGCCTGTGCATAAGGAACACATCGTCTTTCACCAGAACTAGAAGTCATGCCACTGTACAAAGAGCTACGACTGGGGAAAGCTAGGTGACCTCTGGCCCAGTTCCCCTGGAAGTCCAAGTGCCATCCTTTGGAAGTCAGGGTGGCACACTCCACATGACTGTTCTCTAAGTATTTCCTTCTAAATAAAACACATTATTAAAATTTCATTTAGGTGTATGCAGGTTTGAAATGAGTAAAGAATATAACAATCTAAAAACCCAATGAATAATAGAAACTAGTGGATTATGTAACAAAATAAAGGCATGATCAAAAATGCAGATTTCAAATGTTTTTACAGTTTCATTGGCTTTATTTCTTCAAGAATTGAATGCTTGATGAATTTAAAAAATTAAAGTTGATGGGAAACTAATTTTGTCAAATACAGTTTGAACGACCTAGACTGCTTACCCAATTCAGTAAGATTAACCCAAAGAAATCTGACAGCCCCAAGAAAACCAAATTAGCTACGCCTATATATTTTTATAATTTATTTATTTTCCCAAATCATATTCCAAAGGAATTCTAATGCTTTGTTATGACAAACAGAGTTAGATTTTAGTGGGAAAAATATGACATTAAGATTGGTATTGCTTAATTCATTCAAAAACCAGTAATTCAACAGACTTTTTTATTATATTGAGAAAATATTTTTCCAGTTATAAGCTATTACAAAATGAGAAATATTTTGCAGCTCCAACAAAAATATATTTGCCTTATTTAAATGCATTCTTTTTTTTCCCCAAAAAAGTCCAACGTGATTCTGAAACCCAGTTCAAATGAGATTTAACTCTGAAAATGCCTTAACAAAATATTACCACATGGGGTCTGAGAGATTAATTTCTTTCTTCAAGAGAAAAAATAACTGTAGTCAATATTTTATTACAGATTCATTTTTATTCACTAAAATATCTTAATATCCACCTATAACCCCTAAAAAGGTATTTTAAAATATAAATGCTGACACAACCTTAATTATAGAAGCAATAGAGGGTGATGCTGTAATTTTACATTACAAAGAATGTTGGAGAACCAGTTTAGCTTTATTAGGTCTGCTTGCAGTACAGTAATAAAATCATAAAGATTTCCCATTTATCATTTCTGACAGCCAATCAAGGAGTCTTCCATTTCTTAATGAAATGTGACCTCCACAATAGCTCAAAGTAAATGTTTTTTTTTTTTTTAATCCAAACTTCCCACAATCATTTTTTTAAAAAGCTTTCAAGTTTTCAGGATAATAGCTCATTTACTCAAATATATTTAGAACATTTTAGAAAGTTGTGTTTTCATTCTGTAGCCACAATAAGTAGGTGGCATTATTCTTTGCTCACAAGAATTTATGATACATTTAATAGATTAAAATTACCTTAACATATATTTTGATTACTTACAAAGTCCTAAGTTTGGGCATATGGTTGAAACTTGCCACAGAAAGTCTAGTAATGTTATTATTGTTGAGAGTGCTGTAAGATTAAAACAAAAGTTAGAGATTTTAGATATGAAAATTCATTATCATTTCATATGTTAATATAAAGAAATCTTGCAACTATGCTCATATAGGCAAACACCTGGTAGAAATAGCATAGAGAATGAACAATTTTATATTTAGTGATAAATTCACCCTTCAACATATTACTACTATACATTCACGTTTAGAGTTAGAGCTCCCAACAGCTAGTTCACTTCCCAAGTGTCCACAACAGCCACGTCTGGGCCAGGGTCATTGTCTGGAGCAGTGAATGCTACCCAGGTCTCCTACATGTATATCAGGAACCCAATTACTTCAGCCACCATCTGCTGTCTCACCACCCTCCGCACTGACAGGAAGTTACCATCAGGAGCTGGAGCTGGTAATCACACCAGGTGATTTAATGTGGGGCTAAATATCTTCACTGCTAAGCCAGGCTAACCACTCACCCTAATACATTCCATTTTATTCAACATTTATTACAGTTATGACTTCAGTCAGAGCATCTACGACTACAGTAGTTACATGTGAGTTTGTGCATCCTATGCACACAAGTCTGTCTATATATTGTATTAGTTGAGGAAAGAACATGAACCAGAGTAGAAAAAAATCACACAATTGCCTATCCTTAGAGAGGTATTACGTGTAATTAGTGCCCATGAGTGAATGAACATATTTGAATTCGCCAACTGAAATCTCAAAGCAACAAGACAAAATCATTCCTATCAAGTCTGGGACACTATACTCCTAATTATCCTTACTGTGGGTATCAGCCACTGGTGAAATTTAAGTAGAAAGAAAATACTGTACCGGATACTTACATCAAGTGGGAATGAAGGGTACTTGCATCAAGTGGGAATGAAGTGACATGCTGTGGCACTATGTTAAAGTCTGAATCTACCCTAACAGCTTTTACTAGGAGCACCATGTACTCTCCTTTGTTTAGTGCCTGGGAGGAAAAGGATTATGGTTTCTTGAGGTAGAATCAGAAAGACAGGTGGCTGTGAAGCTATGATGAGCATATATGTAAACCTTGCTTGCTTCAATTCTTCCTTACTTTGCCCCAGCACCAACATTTTTCTTATTATCATAAGGAAGATTGTTATTTTGACAGTGGGGAAAGGGATCATCTGAAAGCAAATCCCTTTGAGAATGAAACATTTTTGTTCAAGCATCAGTATGTATTTAAATGGTGTTTTGAGAAAAGCCATGTCATCTGAGCATAAGAAGGGGCTAGAAGCTTATGGGTAATGCAAATCAACCAATTTAGTGCTTTATAGGTCTCCCATAAAGTAGCTATTTTTCCTAGGTGACTTAAGTCACTTACATTAGTTCCTATATCATTCATTACAAAATTAGATGATGAAGACATTGCTGTTCTAGGATTGAAGCCAACATGCCCAACATTACTGAGAAGTTGAAGTCTACCCCTCAAGCCACAAGTGCCACCACCTTATAAGCAAAGCAACCTGCTGGTCTAGAGTAGCTTCACCGATGTGTTTTCCTTAGCCTAGGCAGATTTGTACAACATTCTTTGAAATACTTGAATTAGTTGCCGGTACTTAAAGGGATTGATCTGAAAATTTCCATTTCTAGCTTCTTTTGGAAAAGTCGCATTGTTTGGCAGCCTCCCATTACAGCAGAGCACAGTCCACTGGAGCCGAACATGAGCTGCACCAGCAGAGAGATCACTGCCAGCTTACCAAATCCTCACCGGCCCCAGCTGTCTGCTCTTCTCCATCTCTCTTGTCCACTACAATTCTTGGCATGTAGCCCGCTTCTCTTATTTTGATGTTGCCTGCCTAGGCTCTCTAGGCAAGTGAATTTGCCAGCTTTTTCTGATACCAAACTTCCTTCCCTTCTGCTAATGACCCTATCTTTCTGGCCTCTCACAGAAATCTGCTGTCTCTTCACCACCTCGATGTATCCTCAGCCTCTCCTCCTCTTAGAACCACCTTCTATTTCCACATTTTGCTCACACACGCTTGGGATAACTGTTCTCACTTTCTTATCACAACTAGACTCCTCTGAAGGGAAAAACAAAAACAAAAAGCTCTCTTCTAACTTATTAACGCTAAGTTGTTGTCAGTTGTCTAATTCATCTCCATCATTGTCTACCCTCTTAAGGAGATTTGCTTTAAGATGACCTTATTCTCCCACCTCAAAATTTATACTGACTTAATACAGCAAAAGATTTTAGCATATACAGACACACAGCCTTTTAAAATGTAACTGTTGGTATAAATTTTTTACAAAATTCACATACAGCAGACATGCATTGATTTTAACCTACAGTTTACTTACAAAAGGGAGACTTTACTGAAGCCTTTAGCTGGTCTCTATCTATTTGAAGTCTGTTCTCAAAAATCTTAGTTTACGTAATGCAACTGAAGAAATAAATTATCTTAGTATTTTATTCAGTAACAATGTGCTACTGATACTGATACCCAGTGACTAAAAAATAATGGAATAAAAAAATTAACTTACTTTAAAAATCAGGGGCTGGCGCTGTGGCACAGTGGGTTAATGCCCTGGCCTGAAGTGCCGGCATCCCATACAGGCACCAATTTAATTCCTGGCTGCTCCACTTCCTATCCAGCTCTCTGCTATGGCCTGGGATCGCATGGAAGATGGCCCATGTTCTTGGGCCCCTGCGCCCGTGTGGGAGACCCAGAAGAAGCTCCTGGCTCCTGGCTTCAGATCGGCGCAGTTCTGGCCGTTGCGGCCAATTGGGGAGTGAACCATCGGATGGAAGACCCCCCGCCCCTCGCCTCTCCTCTCTCTGTGTAACTCTGACTTTCAAATAAATAAAAATAAATCTTTTAAAAAAATCAGTAGTACTGGGGCCAGCACTGTGTCGTAGCTGGTGAGGCCGCCACCTGCAGTGCCGGCATCCCATTTGGGCATCGGCTCGAGTCCCAGCTGCTCCACTTCTGATCCAGCTCTCTGCTATGGTCTGGGAAAGCAATGGAGGTGGCTCAAGTCCTTGGGCCCTTGCACCTATGTGGGAGACCCAGCGGAAGCTCCTGGCTCCTGGCTTCAGATTGGCACAGCTCCGGCCGTTGTGGCCATCTGGGGAGTGACCCAGCAGATGGAAGACCTCTCTCTGTCTCTGCCTCTCCTTCTCTCTCTGTGCAACTCTGACTTTCAAATAAATAAATAAATAAATCTTTAAAAAAATCAGTAGTACTTACAAGTGTTAAATATGATGGCAAGCACACGATGTGGTTATGGTCACTTCCTACTATGAAACAGTGCATATTTGCATATCATACTTTGTGATTTGTGACCACCTTCGATGTATCTCTGTGTCTATGCTCAACCTCAAGTTTTTCTCTATAATGAGAATGCAGTCGATTATGAAGGAGATCATATGTGTGAATACAAATGTTACCCTTCATAGTCATGGATTAGTTCTCATACTGAGCTTTGCGTTTAGCTTTTTTCTTCTTTCTTTCTTTTTTTTTTTTTTTTTGACAGGCAGAGGTAGACAGTGAAAGAGAGAGAGACAGAGAAAAAGGTCTTCCTTCCGTTGGTTCACCCCCCAAATGGCTGCCATGGCCAGTACGCAGAGCTGATCCGAAGCCAGGAGCCAGGTGCTTCCCTCTGGTCTCCCATGCAGTTGCAGGGGCCCAAGCACTTGGGCCATCCTCCACTGACTTCCTGGGCCACAGCAGAGAGCTGGCCTGGAAGAAGAGCAACCGGGACAGAATCTGGCACCCCAACCGGGACTAGAACCCGGGGTGCCGGCGCCGCAGGTGGAGGATTAGCCTAGTGAGCTGTAGAGCTGGCCTTGGGTTTTGTTTTACTCACCTCTCTCATGCCAAGCAGAGAACCTGGCATAGAATCTGGTATTTAAAGGGCACACATCCTTAAGTTCCAATTAAATTATATGATGCCCATTTTGTGGAAAAGAAAAAGATATGCAAATCCAGCAAAGCAAGGAATATATTTCATTTCTGAGTATTGTGTTCAAAGCAAAACAAAATTTTAATCTAGATTTAGTTTGCAATGTTAATTTTCATAAATCTTCATATTAAGAAAATAGTTAATTTGAAATCATACAAGCAGAATCCCATAAGAAATCCATTCACCATGAACATGCAGTGATCAACTTCTCTCTTGCTCTCATCTACCCTGACGTGTCTCTTGACCTCTTGGACTTTATTCACCCTCCCTACCCCACTATACATCCAGGACCCAGGATTACCCCATCTTCTGATTGTCTGTGGTATAGCCATATGATCACAGTTCATGGAATTAAAATAAAACAAAAATGTAAAACACTGGGAATATAAAATTTGAGGTCTTGTGCAAATTAAGTCTTTTATTATTTACTCATAATAAGAAAGATCCTGCAAAGTCATGGACAGCAAAAATAAGCAAAACAGGCAAACTTCTCTCTGCAACTAACTTTATTTTTAAAAGGCCCTTGACCTAACGTTTTCAACAGACAAACTTTTGATTTACTTGACAAGAGATCTGGATTCAGAAAATCACAGTATTTACAGTCCTTTATCTAATTTTGCCTTACATTCCCAAGTATTTAATATTTCTGAAGGTGGCTTAACACATGACAATTTAAAAACTAAGTCACATAATATACGCTCTATTTGTTGAAATCTTTACTTAGTGTAGGGTTACTCATGTGTAAAGTTAATTGAAAATAGGTCTTTGTAAAAAAAATAAGAATGAGAATAGGAAACAGGAGAGGAAGAAGGGTAGGAACACAAGCAGGAGGGAGGGTAGGGTGGGAAGAATGACTGTATTCCTAAACTTTATATATGAAATGCAAGAAGTTTGTACACCTTAAACAAACAGTTTCTAGGTAAAAAAGAATAATAATGTATGCTTGATTTCATAAAATTGTAGCCAAATTATTTAAATCTTCTCAAAGAAACTCACATTACTTGTACCATGTGTTAACATTCTGCAGCAAACAGGCTCTGATGATGCATCTCTCTGAGATGGATGGGATCCTCATAAGATATTAACATTCTGGATTTTTCTCTCTCTCTCTTCATCTCTCTCTCTCTCTCTTACACTCTCCTCATTCTTATTTGCAGTTGGGAGCATTGATGTAGTAACAGATTATTTAGCTTGATTATCTTTACTCAATCAAATAACTCAGTGGTAGTATCTTCATACACAGAGTTCAGTGATGTTGACATCAAACCACTACCATGAAACCATAATTGTATCTCAATTATTTTGACTCTGCACTATCATTAGTGAATTTCAGATATTAAACATCATTAGCGAATTTCATATTATAAACATCATTCTGGTACACAAAAGGTGGTCTTATATATAATATATATGTTAAATATACATTGAACATATTTCCCATAAAAAGTTAGGCTGTTTTCAACAAAAACAAAGATGACTTCTCATGCAGAAAACAGTAAATATTCTAACATTGCAAACTTTATCACAATCAAGTCATTCATACATAATTCTTTAAAAAGAATTAATAGTCCAGAAATTAACACATGAAATTGTATTCAATCAAATCCAAAGTCATATAGAAAATATTGACAAGTAAGCTATTCTACTTGAAAGATTTTTTTTCAAATTCATAATCTTCTCCTGAACTCAATTTAAAAAAAAAGTGAATTATTTTTGGGGGGGAATTTGATAATTTCTGGATAACTTTCACAAGTGGACTAAAAATTCAAAACCTCTTCCCATTTAATTAGGTTTGAGCCTCTGACTAAATTGTGTCAAGGATGAAATGAAGCATAGAAAAATATTTATAATTAAGAAAGAAATCTGAATGTGTATATTTAAAAAGCTAGAAACATGAACCTTTGAAAAAAATCCAGAAATGTGTAATAGGAGGCATAAAGTGCTTTAGTAGCTTTCATTTTGATTAAAATTATTAAAATTAATTATACTATTAAAATTGTTTTACTAGGTCAAAGGGCAATAGAAATGACTTAGACTCTAACTAATTTTATCAGCTTTGTCTACCAAGCAGGCCTGGGAGAGGATGTAATTTTAATTCAAGTCTGTATGTTGTGAATTACAAAGTCAGTACTGAGACTTTGTAATGGAGCTCATGGGCTCCTTTAGTTAAACTTATGGAGATTTCTAAATAACCTTACAAAGATAACATTGTTACCTGGTAAAAGTTACATTATAAAATCTTGCCATTGCATAACAACTACACAATGTATGAATTACACATAGTATGAAGATACTACAAAGTTTATTTTTTACATTATTTTCCCTACAAAATTGATATTATCTTAATATTTAGCCATTCTGAGAATTCTCATAACTCTTGGGAATCCTATCAGAATGCTTTATCATAAGAACATTGGAGTGTCCTTCTGAAATACTGTTGCTTAATACATACAGATATGATACACAAGGTTTTGCACAGACACATTTCGACTCTGGATTCACTTTGAGTTACTTAAGGCATCTCCTTAGAAGACCATTTTGACACAAGATTTTAAGCAAGCAGATAAGCCTCTCCATGAGTACTCCCCAGACACAAAGCTCCAGTTTAAAGAGTGAGAAATAAGCAATACTTACAGCACTTCCAGGTCCCGGAGAGCCCTAAATGCCCCATCTTCAATACAGCTGATCTGGTTGTAATCCAGCTGCCTGATAAATAGATCAGAAGATACGTAAAAGGGATGAACAGTAGCCAGAGTGAGTGATAGGAAGTCGCCTGCAGGGTCTGTGGAGCCCTGGCCACAGGAACTGAAACGCTCTCACAAACACACTCATCTGCTTAAGGATGTCACAAGCCATGCTGGCCTCTCTGTGCAGCCACTGAAATCTCTTTTTGTTCTGAACTGTCTGTGCAAATAGCAGCCCTTGGAAAGCTCCAGTAAATAATAACTGTACCTTATATTAAATGCCATAGGAATGCAATTTCATTACATCAAGAAAAGCTATCCATTAAGAGCTTTCAGCGTCATCTTGCTGAAACAATTTCATTAAGGTAAAGGACTGTAAATCACTTAATGTCACATGCACCCCCTCAGTGACCTAACAGAATCCATTTATCAGAGCAGCCCAGCTGCATGTTAATTTCACTATCCTTGGCAAGAAAGACCAAGACTACTTTTAGGTTTCCTTCTTTTAAAAGCAGTTCGCCTTCACTCTAAATCAAGAAAGAGAAATGACGTCCCACAGATCTCCTTGCTATTCCCATCCAGGAATACCCGTTAGAAAGCTAGCAGTTGTTCTATGCTATGCTTTTATTCTCATGATTTGTAATTTCTTATCATTATTCTTAACTTTCTGTTCTGTTAAGGACAGCACACTTTTGAGTGAAGGGACTTCCAGAATTGTAATACTCTCCAGAAAATAAGTAAAATATTAACAGAAGAGGAAAAATTCTGCTTTTCTCTAAGAAGCTAATTTCAGGCCAAATCATGGCGAAAGATACACCAAAGCTACATTGTTAGAACACATTTCTCTATCGTAAAAAGTTTGAACATTATGTCAAATGAATGTAAATGCTACATTAGTTAAACAAATGAATCCTCTCCAGTAGTCTAAGTACTCATGTGTTAAAATTCCAAATTTGAAAGAACAAAAATGATGCTCCAAACTAGGTTAAGTTTCCTTTTTTTGTACTGTTATGGGAATTAAAATTTCTATATTCATTTTAAAGAAGCTACTTGGTTCCTTATGCTATCCTTTTTTATTCCAAACAAGCAGTTGTTTATATTTAGCAGCTAGATGCTTGGAAATATTATTATTCCATTAAAATGTATTTTAATGCTGCACGTGAGATAGAAATGAAATGTTTCATGAAGTAGTCAGCTGAGTCACTGGTTCTACCTGCCACAGTGAGAGAATGCAGTAGCTCAGGACTAAGATTATGATCACAATACAAATGAATCTTGTCCTTGATTCAAGTTCAGAATTCACCAAAAGGGCTAATTCATATTTGAGGTCTGTTCTTCAGGAACCATTTAAACATTCCCATAAAAGAGCTGTTTCTCTCATAAGACTACTGAATAAAAGTGCAATAATTTAATCCAAAGACATTCAGAGGGGCCTCTTTAAATTCTTTACTTTAAAAATTATGTACATAGAGAATGTCTCATGAAATATACATCTCATTTTTAAAGAGTCTCCAGAGGACACAATCATACAAGACACTACCTTGATGTCACGTAAATGGTACCATCTAGGACATATAATATTAAAAAAAAGGTACACCCTAGAGAAGACATGATACTATTGCTTTTATAAACTAAGGCTTTCCCCAAATATTAGTTACTATAGATGTTCCTGTAATAGCTTAACGCATTCTACTTATCAGGAAGTAATGCAGACATATAATTTTATTTTCTAAGAAGAGTTTTAAAGCCTCATGATGTAATATGGCTGCTGTGGTTCCAAGAAAACACTTACATTCTTGAGCACTTTTGATTTTTACAGATTAAATTCATTTAACAATTAAGTTAATAGCCTTTTTATTTTAAAGTGCTAAATATATATCTACACTACTATTCTCTAACCTCTTGAACAATTTATCAAAGCCATTTAAATTAGTACAATGGCATCAAGTGTTACCCCTGACATACTACAAAAGAGAAATTGTTTCCAGACAAATTGGCAAAATCTTTTAATGCTATCAAATTTGCCTAATGCAGTCTCCAGGTTAATCTGTAAAAGGGTGAGCTGTATGTTTGCCCATATCTTATTATCTTTAGCTGTCAATGTATAAATCAGTGCTGACACAGCTTCTTCTAAATCATGCATTCAATACACAAAGGGGAAGCTCGGGCTCGCCAGAAAGCACTCAAGCAAATCTTGTCCTACAAGGAATGAAAGGCAGATTACTCTCCTTACAGCAGCAGAAGTTGAGACGCTGCTGGAAACTTTGGTAATTTCACCCCTCTTTAACATAGCTCATGGTTACATGCTGCTTCTGATTCTTAATGGGAATCTTTGAACCTTTGCTGGTGCCAAAATATTAAGAATATTTGAGCCTCAGAGGACTGACGCTTTCCTTACAACTTTTCTGAATACCTTCATCACACCTCAGTTCACCTATCTTCTGAGAACAAAGTTATTTCATGAATAAGTCGCTCATATGAGAGGGCAAAGTAAAACAAGTGATTTTTTTTTCACAATTTGTGGACTCAAAGGAATGTTTATGGAAAGCATTGTGCCTGCATGACTGCTCATGAGAAAATTTCTCCACACAGACCTCCATTTGTCTGCATATGGTTCAAGATAAACAGTGTCAAAACCATGCAAAAGCATAATTTATTTCAGGGTTTCTGGACTATTTTCCTGCACCTTGTTTGTCTCACACTGCTCCCTTGTTTCCCTATCAGCTTTGAAACCTGGAGTACTTCTGATTTCTGTAAACAGGAAAGGGTCTGTTCTCAGCCATGCATTTAGTGACAAACTGACCTTCTTTTATACGTGATGTCTAATTGTGATGTGAAATTATTCTAAATTAAGGAAATTGTACAAGGAGTTTTTTTTTTTCACTCCCACAGAAATTAGTGTTCAGCAGACATAGGGTAAATGTGTTGATCTTTACAGAGATGAGGATGATGGGGCATTAGATACAATATGGAAAGCCCTGGGATGCCTTCCTGGTAGGAGTGCTAGCCCCCAGGGATAAGCAAACTAGGACTTTCCATATTTCCTGGAAAGGGGAAATGTGCCAGAAGCAGATTCTCTCAGACCTTCAGCCAACCTACTTGGAGTACTTCTCCCTTACTTCCTGCCTCCAGGACTCTGGTTTGTTTCTGAATTATAAATCCTCTCTCCACCTGATCTTTACTTCGTTTGTAAATTTAGGCTTTGAAGCATAGCTTTAGTCTCATAAAATGTTGCAGTGAAAAAGAACAATTGTCATGCTCTTGTTCAGCGTTAACATCCTGTGATTCTCTTTACGGTAGTAGAAGTTTCTTCTGAGGTCCTGGGTAACTCTGGACTGCCCCTTTTGATTTTTCCTAGCACTGCTAAATCCAGTCTTAGGCAATGCAGCACGTCAACTTGAACCCATACGTTAACATATTCCTTGCCTCAGGTGCACCAAGTTTCAGAAGCTTCTCTAATTTTATAAAACACTAAAAATGATTTAGTCTAGTTTCAGAGTTTTATTTATTCTGGGGATGGAAGAGAATATAGTTGTCAAATATAATTTCTAAAAATCGAGATATAAATGACAAAAAGGTTAAACTTTTGCTTATTTGGCACCGGAACCATATTTGGAGAGACCACAGTCTCCTCCATTAAAACTTTCTGAAGAGATTTCCTGTTGTCATCTTTCAAAAATTAGATACTGTACTATGATGGAATTACACGTGTAAAACTTACTCGGTTGTGTACCTATCTACTATAAATTTGTATTTCACTGTAGCATCTGAGTACTAGACCTTCTTGAGTTTCATTTTTTAAGAATATAAACATTTCTAATTACTTCATACAAATATAAAACTTTAATAATGTCTAAGCCAGGCAGGATCTGTCAATTTCTCAACAAAATTTTTGTCAGTGCCATTGTTTTGCTAGGTATGGGTACTAGAAATAGTTCAGTTTGTGTTCACATCATTATCTTAAGATTTACAAAATAACTCCAATAATTTAGTTGACTTAAAAGATGTCTAAATAAAAATATGTAGGAGGAGCTGAGTAGAGTTCATTTAATTGTGACAAATATATTAATGAGACGTTAATGGGGAAATGGAGTGAGTTGTATTTACTACTTCACACGTTCTGTTTTGTGAATTTAAAATTATTCTGAAATAAGATGTAAAAAAGATTTCCAGGCTAATGTTTTGAACAGAAGTGTACATCTTATATTTAAGGGCACAGAAATTACTGAATAAAAAAGATTAACAAGCCAAACAAGATATTGATACCAAAGCAATACAAAAAAACATTTAGTTTTTTTAAGTCAGACATAATTTTGAAGAGCAAACTTTTTGATATAAAAGGAAGTAACAAAGCAAAAAAAATACAGATATTTCACTATTATGAAGAAACCTCTTAAAACACGTGAATTATATGGGAGAAAGAGAAAGAAAGCTGTTAAGGTACATAGGCATAGTTTTTCTATTTCTTCTCTTGTGTATAAAAAGTTCAAGCCATAGGAGTGTTTAAATATACAAATATTATGCTGATAGTGATTTTTAAAAAGTAGTCTATGGTTTAAATGAAAATATATGGACAATATAAGAATAATACAATTGACCCATGCAAATGAACATCTGAAACAGAAATTTCAGTACCTGTGCCATTTAGCTCAGCATCAAAATACATCAGTATTAACCCATATGATGGAGACAACAATCAAGCTAAGGACTACTCCAAGGAAATCCAAACAACTTACATTACCTGATAATTTTAACTTGGTGCAGTATTTCAGGAAACAATTTGGCTTTCTCACAGGAATAAATAATTTTACAAATATATTCTTCATAAGAATTTTTTACTGGAAAAGGCTATTGTATAACTTTCTATCCACTTGTCTGTTTATTGGGAATAAGAAAATAGAGCGCTAAGAGAGTAGGGAAATCTCTTTTAACAGAAATTTGGAAAAAGATAATGAAATTGACATTCATATTCTGGTAATTCTAAGCAAACTAATCAAAGGTGATAAAAATGAGATTGACAAT